AACAGACACACACACACACATCCACGCAAAATGTATGTGCGCGAGGCATAAAGTTCAATTTGTTTCCTCGCGCGTTCTACAAACGCGCATATAATATTTTCCCCTTTTGTGAAATTGATAATTCGTGTATGTTATATAGTTTCTCGCGTCCTTGCTCAGCAACAGCTACAGCAGTGGTATATATGCGTGCCAGGATATATACATTCTTAAGAGAGGAGGTGGAGAGAGAGAGAGAAAGAAAGAGGAAGAGAAGAAAAAGGAGCAGCAGCAGCAACGAACGACGCGAACGATGACGAGTATACACGCGCGCGCGCGTGCACGGGGCGAATGTAACAACGACGTCGAGTGAATATTATTTCTGTCCCGGGAGTCTTAAAGCTTTTTAGTATGCAAACAGACGCTTCTCTCTCACACGTACACACACATACACACAGTCAGTCTTTTTCGCCGTAATAGCAGCGTATATGTATACTGTACGCGCGAGGACTTTATATACATGTATATCTGCTGCTCCTGTGCAGTGGATGTACGTATGTATATTTCGTATACGTGCATTGCAGCATTTCCTTATTATATTCCTTCTTCGCGTATTATACTACTACTGCCAGCTAGACGCCAGCAGTAGTAGTAGTAGTAGTAGTTGTAATGTACACACTGCAGTGCACGCACACATACAGAAGCAACGGCGGCGCGACCGTGTCTACTTACATTTAATACATGTTAGCCATTTTCCTTTTCTTTCTCTCTCTCTCTGACTTGCCACTTTTCTTATTCTATATACTCTACCTCCGCCCGACATTTTTTCTTTTCTTTTCTTTTAATACCTGCTAGCTACTATCCGACTACGTACTATTACTACTTAGATAGCTGCTGCTACTACTACTACTACTACTACTACTACTACTACTACTACTACTACTACTACGAGGTAGTTTCAAGTGTACAATCCTAAGTTGGCGCAGTAGCTACGCTCGGCATTTTAAATTTATTCCTTTTTTTCTCCGTTGTCGAGCTTTAAACTCTATGTACAATAATATTGTGAGATTTCCAGCGCTGAAATTTTTATATCTCGAACGTTGATCGACCTACTCGCGATTGCTAATTTAATTAGTTTTGACATTATAGTTTGCAGTCGGTCGCGAGTTCTTTTATAATAAAGCTTCGATGCGTCGATCGCTCGTGCTTGCGTCGCAATTTGTTTCAAAAAGAGAAAAATAATTTCTCTACGCGTGGGATTACAATCGGAATTGAAAAATTGTTGAAAAATGTTTCATTCACTCGCGGCGACACGAGCATAAAAAGACGTTATATCGTAAAAAAGAAGACGAAGCAGCAGCAGCTGAAGAAGAAAAGAAGAAACTCGAAGCTACACGCATACGTATATGAGCAATTCTCTAAATGAAACGCATTTTTGGAGGTAGAATCGCGGCAAATTTTTTTTTCAACCTACGCGGATACGGACCCCCGGGAAATGTTTTTGGGGGTCCTAGGAACATGTAACCACGTAGGAACCATTGAAATTTCAATAGTGCTTACTTTTATAGCTATTTTTGTGATTTAGAGGACGAAAAATCATGTTTTCTCGTAAATGCGGCTAGTTACTCGATTTCCAAGTCGTTGAAAAAGTATCAAGACTCATCTAAAAAAAATAACTGGCTACTGTGTTCGATAGGAAATTTTCTCAGCTTTACAATTGTGGTATCAGATTTTCCGATAAGTCACACATTCACCTAGAAAATCGCCATCAAACGTGCAAAGCTAAATATCTCGAAAAACTCGGTACGGAAAAAGGGATCTTTGATGTCTATTTTTTATTTTTCCTGTTGAAAATGAGATTTTTTGGAAAATCTGACGTCACCATGAGAAAGCTGAGGAAATTTCCTATCGCAATCATATATTCATTTATTTTTTCAGTGGAATTTACGAGTTAGTTTTGATTGTACCGAGCCGAAAACCTCGCGACCGCGCTGAATCAGCTCGGAAACAAAAAACAGCGAACAACGTGAAAGAAATTCCCATGTGTAACATTGTAATTCGACTAAAAAAATAAATGAAGATATGCTTTCGATAGAACATTTCCTCAGCTTTCTCATGGGGTAGTCAGATTTTTCGATAAATTTCATTTTCACAAGGAAAAATCAACAATTATCCAAAAAGTTCACTTTTTCCGTACTGAATTTTTCGACATATTTAGCCCTCAATGTGTGATGGCGATTTTCGAGGTAAAAATTGGATATTTCGGAAAATCGAATAGTACCATCGGAAAGCTGAGGAAATTTCCTATCGATTACAGTAGTCAGTTAAATTTTTCAGATGAGTTTTGATACTTTTTCAACGACTTGGAAATCGAGTAACTAGCAGCATTTACGAGAAAACATGATTTTTCGTCCTCTAAATCACAAAAATAGCTATAAAAGTAAGCACTATTGAAATTTCAATGGTTCCTACGTGGTTACATGTTTCTAGGACCCCCAAAAACATTTCCCGGGGGTCCGTATCCGCGCAGGTTGAAAAAAAAATTTGCCGCGATTCTACCTCCAAAAATGCGTTTCGTTTAGAGAATTGCTCATATAGCTCGCGCAAGGTCTTTACACGGAGAGAGAAGGCGTCGAGCTGCAGCAGCAGCAGCTCCGACGAGCAAGTAGTAATGCTACGGAGCCCTTGTAAAATAGCAGTAGAAGCAGCAGTACTAGTAGTAGTAGAAGGGAGAAAAGGACGACGAGCAAACGGGTCAATGCGCGCTTGTGTGTGCATGTGCGTGCGTGTGTATTAGTGTGTGTGAGTGTGTCGGAGGAAGAAGAAAAGGTGCCCTGCGAAAGAGGCGGACGGGCGGGAGGAGGAGGAGGAGGAGGTGGAGGAAGACGACACTTGCCCCGCGGTCGTCAGGAGCAACGCCGAGCAACAGTCCTGCCGACACGGAGAGAGAAAGAGAGGAGTAGGGGAATTATAGTCGTATATATTCGTGTGTGCGTGTGTATACACTTTGGAGGGAGCACGCCCTAGCCGGCGTATAGCAGTGTTGCGCTCGGTACTATGTGTATAATAGTACTCTCGTGCTTCGCGCCTCGCAACCCGCCGCGGATGCATGCCATGCTACTTGCATGTTTGTGCTATCTGCGTATGGGTGTGTGTGCAGAGGGACGAGCTGCTCTCTGTACGACCTCGGCGCTTGCAGTTGTAGTTGCCCTCGCTGCTGCTGTTGCTGCTTTACTCGTGTACGCTTCGTTCCGTTTTTCGACATATATGACCCAGCGAGCGATGTCATTTTTCCAATGATTTTTTTTTGTCCTTGATGTACGTATAAATATGTATGAAATGTTTTCTCTTTTCGCCGAAAAAATGCACATTTTTATGCGGAGTATAATCTCTTTCGACGAATTTTGCACGACGATGCGATATCGAAATGGTAGCAGTAGCAGTAGTATAACACAGTAGTAGTATCAGGCGATGGCTCTGTGTGCAGCACTGAAAAATTATATTTATACCGTGATATGCATGTAAAAGCACCGAGCGAACTCGAGTTGTTGTCCCTTATGGAATCTGACATTTACGTTGTGTACTTGTGTCGTCGCTATCTGCGAGAGAAAAATTTCCACGCGCACGGAAAACAACTGAATATACTCAGGCAGCGCGCCCGACACTTTTGTAAATGCCATACTGTATAATATAGGCACACGCGCGCGCGCGAAACGAGTGGAGCCCTGTGTTTTATTTTCGGAATAATAATTTAGTCGCGGCGGGTCTGTTTCAGTCATTTTTACTTGTTTCCCATTTTTGTCTTTCTACTTTTTATTTACATTTTTTTCGTGGCATTTTTGTTCGCTACCCCCTTCCCGTCCAAAATAAGAGGGAGTGAGAGAATCACATGAAACTCGCTCGAGTATACCAATTTCTCCGGTGCTTTTTTGCCGCGCGCGCGAAAAAGCCGAGATAATGATATATAAATACAGAGTGCCTTTCGATAGGAAAACAATTTACAAATCCAACGTTAGACATTGTCTTGTATAGAGAAAAAATCGGGGAAAAAATCAGAAAAGAAAAGCCCGAGCTCGAGTAGAGAGGAGGCAGACACGAAGGAAACTGCCATGTACCGAGGTGTCTGTGCTCGCGTAAACGCCGCAACAAACGTGTCGCACGCGATCTATCTATCTCGCTTTCTCTCTCTCTCTCTCTTTCTCACTATCTGGCTCGCAGCCTATCGCGATAAATTGAAATTTCCCGCGGTTCTTTTGTCATGCAAAAGACGGTTCGGAAGGGAGGAGGAGAAGGAGGGGTCGGGGGGAAAGAAGATTCTCACTCGCCTTGAGGCCGTATACGAGGCGCATCTTGCGAAATTAAATAGTTACGACCCTTTTAGGAGCTGCCACGCAGATTCGCGCCTTGGCTCAGTCTCTCTCTCTCTCTTTTTCTTTTTTCGCAGCTTCTTCTTCTTCTTTCTCACCTCCTCTACTTTTTTTCCTCCTTACTTTGGCTGAGCTTTTTAAAGGTCTTACCTCAGCGAGCAACCCCTTGGGTTTTATTAAAAGGGTGAAGAGAAGAAGTAGAAAAAGACGAGCGCGAAAGAGCAGCAGCAGCGGCAGTAGCAACGAGCTGCTTTTAATATCAAGCCTTGATTCGTCGGGATTAGAAAGTTTTCGGCTGCGCGAGAGTGAGACTCCTCTGGCCGTACTCTTTTTTCTTCCTTCTTTTTTTTTTCTCTGTAACTTCGCTACCGCGTGAAACTTAATTACGCTGGTTTAACAAGGGAATCGTTTTGACATTTAATTCGTCGTTATCGTTTGATTACAGAAGGAGAGCAAAGCCTCTACGACTCCGTGCCTGGTTGCTTCTCTCTCTCTCTCTCTCTTTCTCTCTGTCCTCGAAAAAGGTGTTATTTTTGCGCTTCGGGGAAGTTAATTGAATTTCTTTTTTATTTCAAACGGACCTGCTGATGAGCTAGATTAACTTTTCAAGTGGTTTATTTTAATTTAACGCTCGTGCACAGCTCGTATTTGCGGATGGATATTGCCATTTTATTATTTTCCTTTTGCTTTCTTTCTTTTTCGTACAAAATGGATGTAAAAAAAATTGTTAGTTACCCGTGAAATCTTATTTATGACTTTTATAAACGGGAAAATTTCTTGTATTACCAGCCGGGCCGTAATTACACACCAGGTACAACTTCTTGTAACCTTTTTCTTGATATCTCGTAACACCACATCCTATTTTATTCGTCTCGGCCCAAACGAGTTGCGAATAGTGTCCGTACTTCGGGTTGTGCCTGGAATAATGATATTCATTATATAAACGATATAAACACATAAAAGATGCGTAAAAATTCCGCAAGGTAATCATTTGGTACTCGTGCACTTTCATTTGTATAGCACGAGGAAAATACGTGTAATAATTGAACGCGAAACGAAAGTTTTTTAGTCAATTAAAATTATCTTCATTTTGCGTTCAAATTATCACGCGTATTTTCCTCGTGTATGAACGATAAGATACCTGTAATTCTGGACATTTCTCTTATCGAAGTATTTGACCTCGTCGTACCACCTACGCACGGCCTGCTCGAGTTTGAGGCTCTTCACGTTGCCCGTGGTCGCCTCCAGGCCCAAATTCTGACCGAAACTGTAGCGACCTTGAGAAACAACATCGGGCATTTTAATGACCATATAGATATAAATTATTATGCACCTTTCGTACATTAATATACACGGAGTTTATCTTACCGACGTGGTTGCAAGGATCGTGCTCGAAAAGGCAGCCGTTGGCCCACTGCTGCGCAGCTGCCTCCAACTCTGTATCCCATTCCTGTGCACAAAGTTCGCGTTATACACAGAAAAATTTCATCGTCGATCGCGCGATATTATGTAAGATGTATAGAGAGGATAATATAAAACCGATGTATCTACCAAAAGCCTCATGTTGACTGCTCGCGGCTGGGGCCCGGGACTTCCTGCTTTTTCTAATCCCTTAGCCACTCGATACCTCAGGGCATTGTGCTGTCTCAAGATTCTCTTCTTCTCGTCGAACGTTAAGCCGGCATTGATTAAATTTGGACATTTGTTATGCGGTCGTTTTTGCTACGCAAATCATAAAATAACCATCGCCCGATAAATTGGTTTGTTATATACAAAATATGAACGTATTAAAAAACAATATACCTTGAAGTGACATTTTTTTTGTGCCTCGACGAAAGAGCACGCCGCAACGATAAAGACAAGAATCAAACAAAATTTACCCATGACGATGAAAAAGGAAGACGTTTTCTTCTGCGCGTCTTCGAAGCTACTGAACTAGTGTCCGAGACTATAACTAATATTTATAAGACGTAACAAGTACCGCATACGATCGAGCAAAGGAATGTAATAATGCGCATCGCTGTAAATAAATGTTATTGCTCTCTACTTTAATGATTTTCAGTTTATTTATTTTTCCAGCAAATCTTAAATGATGATATTGGTTTCATGCACATATTTTTAATGTAAGTCATATAAACAAACATGTATCACGATGCGTGGCACGTAGCTTGAAAATAGTCAACGAATATAAAAATATTTTCAATGCTTCACTGTGTAACAATTAGATAATGTCTTGATGAGATGATTACGTATAAAAATAGCTGATGTAATCTGTTATTACATCTTAAAATTTGTTTATATGTAATCATACATAAATTTGATGTACAGAATATATCTGTAGGTTTAAATTTGTCCGCTGTCTTATTTTTAATACACAGGCTGTGCTGGAATGTTTCCTGCTGGTCCATAATTACAAAATATCATCATATAATTAAAATTGTACTTGTAATATCTTGATATACCACATCCAATTCTGGTACTTTTGGCCCATACCATTTGTGTGTAATGACCCCAACCCGAGGAGCTGAAAAAAATTATCGCCGCATATTAATCAGGATAAACTGGAAAAATTTTTATCGATACATTAAAAAAATATGTTTTTGTTTAGTTTCAACTTACCTCTCTCCATAGTACGACCTGACTAAATTATTGTTAACTAATTCCACTTCGTCGTACCACCCTAATATTCGATCTTCTATCCTTAAAATATCCATTGGTGCTTTAGTCCAGATCGTTGCGATATTTTGTCCGTAATCGCAATAAGGCGCTAAAATAATTACAAGGTAACAAATTGAGCGATCCCCCTTTTAAATACGATTTTTATAATTAGCTCACTTACGATTATAAAAGCAGGCATCGTGTTTCATTTCACACCTGTTGGCAGATTGCTGGGCTTTCTCGGCTAATCCCTCGTCCCATACCTTCGAAGGTAATATGAACGTTTTGAATTCAAGCGTGACATTAAAAATATTGTGTTCTAAATAACTAAAGTCGAATATTATACCAAGTTGGGCATCGCGAGAGCCGGCGGTTGAGGTCCAGGATTACCTCTTTGTTCTTCGCCCCGAGCCACTTTTTGTCTCAATTCGTTGTGCAGTTGTACAATTATATATTTCTCTTGTTCCGTAATCCAATTGCTCAGCATGATTCCACAAGGCGAGTATTCAAAAAAATACTATCGAAATTATATGAAACAAACGAATTGGGGATAAATTATTTACTCGTATATGAAAATAATTGTTGATTACCCACATAGTATGACGCTGCATGACTTTTATTTTTGGCTGTTTCAATGAATAAAACAGCCAGAACAAGAGAAAATACAATTGTTTTCAACATCTTCCTGGAGACGTGGTCTTACAAGTACTAACATATGTTGATTCAAACATCTATTTTTGTTTTAACTACCAGTCAATAATTGTTGTGGTATAATTGACAAGTTGATGTATTGCTATAAATATTGTGATCATTCCATATCTAGTATTTACATTATAACACATATTTTTCAGATTTCTGTACTTCAAAATTGTGAAAATCAAAATGTATTTCATGGTATAATCATCAATTCAGCATCCGCAAGCAATTATAAACAAGTATCCAACGGAAGAAGAGGAATTAGAAAAAAATGGCAAGTAAGTAGGCCAATTCATGAGTGATCGTGCAACTCGATTTTTTTCAATTAGTTAGTTTTCTGCTTACGCGTGTGGCAGTCACACGTTTAAGAAACAAAATATTGTTTTCTCTTCTGGTTTACCAAGCCACAATAGTTGAAATTAATTGTGTACAGTGTGCGAGTGAGTGAATTTAGTTAACATTATTTGATATTTTTCTTTCCTGCGATATTGAAACGATTAAAACATTAACAATTAATTCACTGGGTAAGTATTTTATGATATAATTTAATTAAAATTTTTTTTTTCAAATCTGCTACTTGCGAAGTAGAATAATACAATTTTCCAAATAATATAAAGCTCTCTGATTTCATAGAATTTGAGAATAAAAATCATAACGAAGCTTGACAAAGTAAAATTTTTAATGTCTGCTGCATCGTAAACGTCACATAACGAACGACCGTCGGAGTGAATATTTTTCGCTCGTCAAATAGCTCGTTACTTATCGCAAAATTCATAAAAATTTATATCGTAAGTGACAAACGACGCGATAAGCCATAATTTTTTCGTTTGGCTGGTTTGGCCCTCCGAATAAAAAAATAAAGTTCCGCGGAAAACGTTAAGTCAGTTCACAGCTGTTGTCTTCGGGCATATTTTTTAATAATTTCGATGCCGAGTATATCGCGTCGAGTCTTTCTGTAGCACCCACATAATATTGTACTATATATACCGAGTAAAGACGTCGTCGGTGTCGGAGTCGCGAGCGAGTCGAGTTTTAGTTGTACGTGTATATTTAAGGAGTTAATTGAAATCCAAATCTCTAAATCCACGGCAATTTCTTCGGCCGCGGCTGTGTGAGCGTGTGTACTTGTGTACGTGTGCGTGTGCAGATGTCGACCCTCTCTAATATGCAAGCAAACTCCTTTATATAGGGGCGTCAACTTTCTCGAAGCAGAGAGTAAGACAATGGCAAAGCGAGCTCTTTTCGACGTCGACGACGAAATATCAAACTTTGCGTTGGGTATACCATCAGTCCGCCGAACTTTGCTATTTAAATGTTTTCCAGGGCGAGATCATATATAGCCTGCGCCTGGGCGTGCATCGTCGTCGTTGTTATAATATCATGTGTATTATATCTATATCGACTCCTCTATATATATAAAAGCCTTGTTCCTTGTTTTGCACGGATGTGGAAATTTTTGTTTTACTTGCTGCTTGCGCTGCGCGTCGAAGAGAAACTTCTGCTGTATATTTCATCGCAACGCGCGCGATGTCAACGAGACACAGCTTTATCCTCTCTCTCTCCCTCTTTTGCTCCTTCTCTCTCCCTCTCTTTATACTTATCTCTCTCTCTCTCTCTCTCTCTCTCTCTCTCTCTCTTTGTTTTATGCTTCTTAATTCAATCTCAGTCTCATGCTGCCAGAGATACGTCTCCATGGGCGCGCGCGTACGACGAATAAGCGAAAAGCTCGTTTGACACCATTGTAATCAATTATCATTTTGTAAAATTTTCCTCGCTATACTTTTTCCGAGATTTATTTTCGGGCTAGACAGTTTACGCTCCGCGCGCGTAATTACTTCTCTTTTTTTTTTTCACCTCCCTTCCAACCTCCGAGCCAACTCTCGATCGACTGCAATCTCTCTCTATCCAGCCGGATATAATCGAGCCCACATCAAAAAAGCCCACGCGCGGGGGGAGGAGAAAGTTCGGCATAGATCAGAGTCTCTGAAGTATTTATCGCGTCGCGTACGCAGAGGAAAAGAGAAAAAACAAAGGAAAAACGCATTTATCCTTATCGATTTGGCTTCAAAGAGAACAAAAAAAAAGACAAAGTTAAAAAAATAAGAAGAGAAGTGTGGAGAAAGAGAGGGAACGAGAGAGAGAGAGAGTCATTTTATCGTTAGCCATCTTCCATTTGTGTATACTCGAGGTACGAGTGTGACGTTCGTAAATTGAATTGGGCAAACTTTTCAGGGGAGTCCGATCGGGTGCTGCTAGCTGCGCGCGAGCGAGAAAGCGAGCGTATTGCGGGTGTTATTTCGCGAGGACAGCCCCCTTAATCAACCCGCCCTGTGCTGCTGCTGCTGCTGCTGCCCCGAGCTCGCCTGCAGAGAGTGAGTGAGTTAAAGACAGAGAGAGAGTGAGAGAGCGAGAGACGAATGACCGGAAATGACACGAAAGTCAAGATAAGAAAATGCTCCTTGGCGATTGCAAGTTTATATATACATTACCTTCTTCGGGGATGCTCGTTATCGCCGAGGCAGCTCGTTCTCTCTTGGAGAGTGAGAGAGCCTAGAATAGGATGTTTGTCAGTTGGATAGACAGGCCAAGCAGAGCAAGCCGAGTGTTTGTACGTATATATACATATAGCAAAGAGAAGAACGAAGAAGGAGAAGAAGAAGCAGAGAGACGATGAACTAGTTTAACGTTTGGACGACGACGACGCCGACGAGCGGGAGAGTGAGAGACGGCAATGAGCCGAGGGATAATACACGGCTATTATACGGCCGTGAGTGTGCCGAGATTCCAGGCCTGGATATATTTTATATAATATATATTATTTTCTGGTATAAAACGTGTGTTGAGAGAAGCGAGTGCGACGATTGCTCGAGTGTGCAGAGAGAGAGAGAACAGAGACGGAGACTCTTTCATGGGCAAATTTCAATTATTTGCGCGACCCGCTATTGTCTGTCTCTCTCTCTCTCACTGTGTTTGTATGCGCAGTGCATGGATTATTAATCGAGTTATATCGTGTGAAAATCGCTTCTGCTGTTATCTGCTCGCGTATTAGCGAGCTTTTATATGTTTTATTCAACTGGCATTCGCTATCGATACATAAAGGTTCCTTTCAATAGAGTTATCCACTGCACGATAGCTGCGCGATCTTCATTATGCTACCCGCGATTCTCTATGCTACCTCGTTAATTCACCTGTTTACGAGAAAAATTAGAACAGCTTTCACTTTGAGCATAGCAAACATTAAAATCTCACGAATCGGCTTTTGTTTCTAGCGTGACTGAGCGTCGATAAATGTACCATATTTATTGATTTTTATTTTTACTTTACAAGAGGAGTATAATTCATTCCGTGCGATTTTATTCTCACTTTCACACCCGCGCTTATCTCGGCTGTCAGCTTTTACAATTTATTTTGTATTATTCGTATCATTTTCGTATAATATAACTTTCATAATGTAATACATCGATAACGAGCTCGAAACCGATCGAAGCCACGTTCAGTGCGAGTGCAGGTGTAGCGATACGCATGCATCCGTTGCATATATATTTTTCTTCCAGAAACAAGCAAACTCCGAGCGTAACGTATTTTATACATCTATACGACGAGGCTGCGAGGTCAATTATCGGTATATTCCAATGTAATAAAACGCGCTTGAGTGTGCGTGTGCATGAGCGGCCCGAGCGTCTTATCCCCGCGGCTGCACAGCCGGATAGGCTTTGGGCCACGATTTTGCGCCGGCTTGCCGGTGCAGCTGCACACGCCCCGCGCGCGCGCTAAACGACCCTGTCTCGTTTCGCGTCGATATATATTATTCGCGAACAAGCGTATTACGTGGACTAATGTGTTTTGTTTCGCTTGTTTTTTTTTTATTCTTGTTTCTCAAAAACTTGGCTATGAATTCGATGCTAATGGGCCCCGGCATCGCGTAGCTCACACACATGTGCTCACCAATCTTTTTTACAGATTTCAGTGCACGCGTGCGAGCAGAAAATTTATAAATGCAGGATCGATGCCGCTCGGAGATGTAGGTCGATGTTTATACGACGTAAAAAAAATCCCGTCATCGAGATGTTGATGCTCCCACGAATAATGGCGCGGATGTACTGTTACAAATACGCGCGGATACGAGCGTCGATAAGGATTTTTTTTCGAACAATAAAGCTAGCATATTCTTTAATTTTTCTTCTTTTTTTGAGATCGTGTTGCATCTCGTTTTCGCATATTCAATAATTACAAGGTAAACGTAGACATCCTTCCTTCATAACTTATATCGTATGTAAATATAGCGGACGACAAAGAAAGACAGAGAGAGTCGCGGGGATGTATGCAGAAACGTGACAATCGCAAACTATATTCATGCTATATATTAAGTCTCTCGTGGGCAATCGTTGGTATGCGCGATTTCGGAAGCTTCGCAATTCGCACAACGCCCGATCCAATCGTGCCCACGTACGCACGAATCGTGGCACTCCTAAATGATCGATGTCGCAAGATTTAGCTGCCGTTTTCGCGCGCGAGTCCAGGGTTATATTCGCAGCTGAACGGTAGAATGCGTACACATATTCGATTAAATTGCGCGATTATCGCGCGCGAGTCCTCGGGCTGCGCACAAGGGCACGGCAAAACTACATTTTTAAAGATATACGACGGCAATTCCTTCGAGTATATAGGGATTTTGCACCAGACTCGATCGCGATCAAAGCTGGCTTCGAAAAAAAGGAATGTAGATAGAAAGAAATGGCTAAAGAAAAAAATGAATAAATAAATAAGTTGACTCGAATGCTAATTTTGCATTCGGTCTTACTTCTCTACGAAAAATCACTAATTTTTTCTCCCGAACGTTGTCCACGCATGTATAAGTTAAGCATAGGTATCTCACTCGTTTCTCGCGAGTCGAAAAAGATTTTCAACAGCAATTTAACACGCCGCCTCGTATGCGCTACAATAATCTCCCTGTGAAATCTTTTTCTCTCTATCTCTTTCTCTCTCTCCTCCTTCGCTTCAAGAAAGCTTTTGAAAATTCGTTATGAATGTCAGAAACAATGTACACCATGAAACAGCAGCAGGAGAGGCTACAAAATTGGTACTTTATGCACATTATGAGGCTTGCACGACGTTATAAGGATAGCTCTCGAGCTCGACACGTCGCGTTACACACTACGTGTTTTTCAGCCGATGCACGTCGTGGTACAGAAAAAAAAATATCGCGAATAAAAAGCATCGAGAAAATCTTACGCGTCCTCGCGGCAGTAGCAGGCTATATAGATCGAAACGCGCTGCT